CATCCAAAAGAGAGTGCTCGACCGATTGATTTGCACCAACCCTCAAAAGTCTTCAATTATTGAAGTATAAATCTTAGCCTTAGGATTCGATCAACGGTCCACAATAGCCAAGAGAAAGCACAACTCGATTGACCACTTATTAACCAATGCAAAAGTACAAACTGTCCATAGGAATACAAGTAGGAAAAATCACATTTTCACTTATGAAAGTGTGGTTTGAGAAACACAACTCCACAGTACACAAAAAGTTTGATAGAATTCTTATAGAAAGACATTTGACAATTTTTCATTGGTTTTTAACATAACAAACACAGAAAATGCACCATACAGAGGTTGTCAATGTAGCACTTGTATCATTTCCATTCATAATTCCTTGTACCTATGGAATTATTCATTTGACAAAGGCTGGCCTCCGACTCCAAGACATTGGGATGCTCCAGTTGTTAATCCTGGAGTCACTTCATATTAAGTGAGAGCTAAATAAATGTTGAAACATTAATTTATTATGCATGTATTTTGCCTAAAACCCATCTATTAATTGGCCCATTATTTTAGAACCATCGTCACTAGTTCTTTATAAAAGCCACTATATTAATTAGTTTGGTATGGTCCTCAGCCTCTTCAGTTCCTCATAACTAATATACGGGCCCTAAAACCTTGCTTCACTGCTCTTCCGAGATTTAGCATTATGGTTATTATTTGTGACATCAGCTCCAAACCATCCTCCTCCATATCCTGGCGGCGTCAGGTTCACTCCATTAAGCACCAAAACATAGACGGCTTTTTTCCCTTTTGATTGATAATCCTTTTCATCCCGTTATTCCTAATAAAGGACTCCACCAGGTAGGGATACACCCAATATTTCCATGCTTTTCTTTAACAATTTTTAAAGAAAGATGGTGCTTCATGCTGTAGATTCAGTAAAGAATACTTGCACGTAACAAAATGTCGTCCACTATTCTCATTCCTTGAAAAGTAAACCTCCAAATGCAGGCGACAGTTGAAATAAAATCTCAATTGCCTCTTAACTGAAAAGGGTTGAAAAAGAAACAGTGCTAAAACAAAGGGTCAGAAAAATATCATGCCAGGAGAAAGGAACACAGGATAGAAAATATTTTTGCCCTTATGTTCAACAGGTACACACATGCATCTAATGATCTAATACAATAGGCCACCTAGTGTAGTCGATTTATCTAGAAAAAGAAAAAAAATTGCCTCTTAACTGAAAAGGGTTGAAAAAGAAACAGTGCTAAAACAAAGGGTCAGAAAAATATCATGCCAGGAGAAAGGAACACAGGATAGAAAATATTTTTGCCCTTATGTTCAACAGGTACACACATGCATCTAATGATCTAATACAATAGGCCACCTAGTGTAGTCGATTTATCTAGAAAAAGAAAAAAAATTGCTTTGGGTAAGGAAGAAGAGAGGAACAAACACGTTTGGAGGGCACAGTCCAACGGAGAATTCTATGTTGCATTCCGGGATAAACAGGCGTAGTATAAAATCAAGGTAAGACAGAGACAAGTTATATATGTTATTGATCAAGTAGCTAGCTAGAACAAGAACATTGTACAGAAGTCAACGTTTGATTGATATTTCTAGTAATTAAGCATTTAGAAAGTGAAAACTAACAGTAGTATCTTAAGCAACAGACATATATAAATATATGCTGCTTATTTCTTAAAAGAGACTACTGATTTAAACTTAATTATATAAATATTCATGCTGCTGGTGCAATTCCTGAGTCATCGTCATCGTCATCGTCATCGTCATCATCGCCTTCATTTCTTGCACATATGTGGAGACAAATTGCGGCCCTAGCTTTATTGCCATTCAACTTGGGGTTATCGATCAGCTTCTCAGCACAAAAAATCACCATTTTGAGAAACCCAATAAATTTTACGTGCAAACAAAATATATAACTCGATCTAAAGAACAACGAGGTGATACTCGAAGTATATTAGGGTTAGAAAAACATTCTTCCCCCATTTATAGCTTGAACTCTATGGCTTTTGTGGTTTTAGCCCATTTTTTCATTTGAGAGACTTTCACTGCCAAGGATTCTTGCTTTTCGAATCACTTTTTATGCTCAAGATCTATACCGGATACAAAAAGGAGAAAACTTGACATGGTGTGGTTAATCTCCATAGATTTATTGCTGAGTGGAGAAAACGGGACCATGCATGAGTTAAACTCATGGCAGAGTGATGCCCTAGATTGCCCTCTTGTGTTTAGCAACAGTTGATGCACACGCCTAAGCCGAATTTCGTGTGTAGAAAATTTCCAGCTCAAAAGAAGTCAAAATAAGTCGAATTGTTTCAACTATATTTGAGGATTCGGATTTTGTTGAAGGATAATCAAGAATTAATTAGGTCAAGCACACAATGGAAGTCAATGGATTTTTCATTTTTATTTTTTTAATTTGACTCCAGTATACGTTGGATTGACACTCAAGCAAGTTGCGTTTGACAAAAGTTTAGACTAGTTACACCAACTTACGCAATAAAAATTAAATTTAATAGAGCTTTATGATAATGGAAGCAATTGCTCAGTATTTGGCTTCACTAGATGAACGTTAGCGAATACGGTTTCTTGGATCTCTATCATATGGGATTTGTTAACCTTATACTAATTTTAGCTTTTTATGATACTTAAAAGATGACGATTCTTAAGCTCTGTCATAAAATGAGTTTTAGTAATTTATTATGACTAAAATTCGATATCATCAATGCCAAACTAGTGTCTTAAATCTTAACAAAAAGTATTTCTTGAGCTCTAAAAAATTATCTATCATGGAAAATCTATTTTCATAATTACAACTTGTAGAGTTGGGTTGCCGACATTTTGTGGAAGCCCAGGCAGTTGATCCAGTAAGCGTTGTATATTGGGAAGAGTTCACATTTCAGGCGTTAAGTTTACCTCAATTCAAAAATTAAGTAGACACTTTTAAAATTCAAAGATTAGGTACATATTTAATTAATTTAATTTTTTTATTAAATATAAATGATAAAGTCACAATTACACGATTCATAATTATAGGTCATAGATTTATTTACTGGTCACACATCAACAAACTAATTGATCAAATGATTATTTCGTAGTTACAAATCTAAAATTTTGTAGATCACATATTATTTAGAGGTCACAGATCATTCAAATTTCAGGTCACATACGTCACAATTTATCGGTCACAAATTATTTTGATCACAATTATCAAATTTAAAATTTGAGTTAATCACAGGTAACCAAATAGTTGGTCACAGATCAAATACTATGTCATATTTCATGCCACCACTGCCACTTTCCACCACACTCACCTCGTCTCCGTCGTCGGCCACCATCTCGTCGTCAACACTACCAATCTACCACCACCAACAAGAACCACCCAATTCCACCGACACAATCAAAACAAGACCACCACCACCACTCCAACCAAAAAAACACCACAACCAGCATCACCACTACCTAAACACCACACCACCACCACCACCACTCCAAATCCACCTCCACCGCCTCCAAAAATCACCATATCAGCTGCTTCCACAGTCACAAAATCACTGCTACCACCAAACAGTCAAACCACAACCTCACCACCAACACCACAAAAACACACCTCGCCATACAACCACTAACAAAACTGTTACCCCCAGATCTTACCAACAAAAACCACTACAACACAAGGTCCACAACTCCAAAAAAAAAAAAAAAGTAGGGTAGCGGGCAGCGGAGTTTCAGCACCACCACCTTCGACGGCAATGGATGATGCCACCGCTATTGAAAATTGGACCGATAGTCATAGCTAAAAGCCACAAGAGGCTCCACCACCTCCCACCCGACGCCACCACTGTTGAAAATCGAATCGGCACTCACATTCGCGATTCCAAAAAAAGGAGGTGTCACGCCCCTTGTAGCAGTGCCGGTAGAGAGAAGAGAGAGTCTGTAGAATGCAAGCGCTCAGATTTTTCGACGCTAGTAGAGGTGGTCTCCGATGATGAAGATGGAAAAGAGCACATGCGACTATAAGAGACGTGAGGAAGAAAATGAGAGATAGAGAGTGAAAGGATGGAAAGGGGGATTTTGATTTTAGGGTTTAGTACTTGATTTATCCATTATCAAACCTTGCACTTGATTTTAGAATTGTGATTTTTAAACACCGGCTTTGGTGTAATTTCCTCCTGTATATTAAACCCAAACCCAGCCCACTATTTATCCATTTGGTGTGAAGCTTCGAGAATTAGTAAAACCATGTTTTTGGTGAAACACAACTTTGATTTAGGAAAATGCAATGTGGCCAGGCTCGGGGACCGACTCGGGGACAGGGTGCCGAGGTGGCAGCCCCTCGGCCATTGGATCTGCAAAAAAAAAAAAAATTGAAATTGAAATCGAGGGTTGAGGTGATGCCACGTTAGCCCCCTATCCCCGAGTCGGTCCCCGAGGTGGGCACTGTAGCACGGTTGTTTGATTTAAGATGCAACTCTTGTGCATGGTTGACACGTGGAATTCTTTACTCCCTTGGAATAGCATTGTTGCTTATTTCATATAAAAAAAAATAGGCACGGGGTGCCTTTAAGGTTTCATATCGTTTTAGTCTCTTCATCTTCTTTGTGTATTATGCTCTTTGGTATAATTTTGGTCATCCTCTTGATGATACACTACACCAAAAAGGGGCTATTGCAGTGGTCAAAAAATGCTATAAAAAATCATTTGCAACATTTTAGCGTATGTTGCGTTGATTGATGTTGCCTTTGAGGGAGAGTTTTTGAAGCGTTTATCAAACGTTGCAAAAGCTCATCTTTTGCAACGTTTGTCAAACATTGCAAAAACTTATATTTTTCAGCATTTGCCAAACATTGCAATAGATTGTCAGACGTTCTATTGCAACGTTTGACAAACGTTGCAATAGATTAGGCTGCAACATTTGTCAAACGTTGCCGTAGGTCATTTTACAAATTTTTTTTATTAGTGATTAAACCGCAAAACATAATAGAAGATTACTATATCAAATAACTCCAATAATCATTATTAACTGAACTCTAAAATGTAACGATATTCGTACAAAATTCAGATCCAAAATTCTAAAATACCTAAAAATCCAATACATTTTCCAAAAAAAAAAAAACGACAAACTAAGTAGTGCGTTTTTCAATCCCATCGGCCTCAATTTTCTTCACAGCAATCTTTGACACGAACTTAGGTACTTTTTTGTGAGGAAATCTTCGACAACAATCTTCGAGACGACACAATCCTCTTGGCTCCAGTACAACCCTAAAGAGGCTGAATAAACATAAATATTATTGCAACATAAAAGTATAATCATCTGAAGATGAAACATGTACTCTTATTTAATTCCCGTTTAGGGCAAATACATTTGGATTTTGGATTTTTTATTTTTAAACATTGCAAAAGTGACAAGTATACAAAAATGTTTAGGCTATATCAAGAGTGTACCATTAGCTTGTCTGTCCTGTCATCTTGGCAATATGAATGCTCAACTAACTAGCATAATATTGGAGTTTTATAGACCAATATGATTTCTGGAACTAATCAGCATGCTATTGGAGTTATGAAGATACTAACCAGGGTTTGCAAATAATGATTGTGAACCACGGGCAAGTGTGATGTCCTTGGAGTAAATGATGGAGCTGCAATGCAACGGCAAGCAATAAGCACAAGTGACGGAATAAAGTTTTCTGAAATAAAAAAGTCCAGCTTTAAGAACGCCATGAACATGTTTTCTTTACTGCAAATAGGTCGTCACAAAATAATTTTACATTTTGCCATCGTTAGGAATGCTACAAGATATATATTCTAACTGATACCAAGAAAGCATATTTCTCCTTTCCTTTTGTAGAATTCTTCTTATTTTATATAACTTTTTCTCTTTGTTTTCCTTTTTGCTCTTTTGGGAAATGAAATGAAAGGAGACAAGAGTTTCTTAAAGCTACATTTCATTATACTAAGCCTTATCCCTTACTCAACAAGAATCAATATTCTTAAGGAAATTAAATGATATAACATGAGAATGTTTTAAATGCTGAAAGAAAAAAAAAATTCTATGGAACTATATATCAAAATGAAAATCAGAAATTAGTTACAGCATCAATAAGCACTTTGCCTGCAAATGAACTGGTGCATTTTTACACAGGCGTCTTCATTTGGGATCTAAAATCTATTGCCTCAATTTAAATTTATCCAAAATTAAGTTTTAATGGTATTTTGATGTCCAAATGTTGTAAGTTACGGAATATATATATATATATATATTTATTATTCTTTTTTTTTTTTAACCAAATCTTTGGATTAAACAAAATAACGCCTTTGTAAAAGAGTAATTTTGTCTAGAGTAGTCCAGTCTTCGATAGATGCTGTTCAAGCTAAACAATTTTCAATAATAAAGAAAATCTTATTGGTCGTCTAACTCCTCAATTAATTATTTTTCTGCAGGGAATTTCTCCAAATATACGACGATAAAATGTGGTCAATGAGTATCCATTTGAAACTTACCAGAACCCACAAGGCCCAACACAATCAGTGCCTGCATCAAACAAAAAAAAGGCTAATGTCAAACTACATTAATTTTGTAAAAACACGGGCCTGTTAAAACAGAAAGAGAGGCTTTTTATCGTTTCAGCGGCATGAAAGATGATTACAATTACCAAAAATAATGAGCATAAT